TGCTTTCAAAAATTGTGGAAGTTCCATCATTGGAGTTAAGAAGATACCGGACAGTCATTTGTCTGATATGGTATAGGTTCTCTGCTTGATCACAGGGTTGGACTAGGTAAGTACTCCAAGGTACCTTCCAATTCTGTTATTCTAAATCCTTAGAGACTAGCATAAAATGACATCAAATTATACAGATAAAAGATTGCAGCAGCCAGTGAAACTTAACATGAATGAGATAACAATATAGAATATTCTGCCTCCAAATGATAGCAATGGATATAAAATTTTAATGCTACCCCTAGGCTAGTGAGTGATAAAATTGATTCCATCAAACCTAATAGAGGTCATCCTTCAGTGACTGTTCAATGTTACAATGGCACTGAAAAAAGTGACTTATGACTATTTTTCACAGTTACAACCTTTTTAGCATTCCCATGATCAGGTGATAAAAATTCAGATTCTTGGCTTCATACTTATGATAATTTCTGTGTCCTAAGGTCATGTGATCACCTTTTGCAATTGTTCAACAAACAAAGTCAATGGGGAAGCCAGATTCATTTAACAACCAAGTTACTAACTTATTAGCTGCAGTGATTCACTTAACAACTGTGGCAAGAATGGTGGTAAAATGAGACAACACTCACTTAACAACAGAAGTTGGGCTCAATTGTGGGCCTAACTGAAAGATTACCTGTACCATAGAATCTCACATTCCACAGAATATTTTACTCTAATTCCTCTTACAGGGAATGATGATATTGTGAAATGTTAGTGTCACATTCCAGTGTCCCACATAAATAAAATCCAGCAACACAGGTCAATGTGGTAATGTTTATCTGATGATGCGAACCTGGCACAAAGTGATCAACCATAAAGGAATCAAAGTTTGTGCCACCGTAGTTACTTCCCCACCTGTTATATCATGTTACACACACACACACACACACACACACACACACACACACACGTGTTCTACACCATCTCCTCCCAATTAAAATAAATGAGAATAAATAAATACACAAGCAAGGAAGCAAGGTTTTTTTTTTTAAAAAAAAAACAAGTTTTATTGATTTTTGAAGACAAACAAAACATAACACATAAAAGTATAAAACCTCCTTTCTAAGAATTACTTATAAATTTTAACAAGGCAAATAAAGCATTATTTTTTTAAAACATACTTCCACATTATCACATTTCCATTTACACATATATATCTTTTCCAAATTTCTCATTATTTCTCCCTTCACTTTTGTTCAATTATATTTCTTTCTATCAAAGTTTTAGTAATTCTCAATCAGTCATAAGCACACAAAATACATAACCTAAAGCAAAACATTAAAAAAAAAAACCCTCCTTAGTTGTCATTTATACATGTCTTTTCCCAATTTCTCTCCCTTTGGTTTCATTCTTCCAAGATTTTATTAATTTAGAATCAAACACAACTAATCAACACACAAAACATAAAACATAGAACTTCTTTTGAAAAGTGACTTAGCCCTGGGTTACATCTTTTTTGACAGACCTAAATCAAATTCATGCCCACCTTATATACCCTTCATATCCTATTAACCATTTTATATTTTCTATATAACTTCTCCCATCTTTTCACTCTCTTAATTATGTTTTATTTATTTCGTCTTATTTCAAAATCATTATGCTTATATCTTTTGTCCGTTCTTTACCAAACATCTATTTATCTCTTCTCTTTAACAAAAAAATTCCCCTGTAATCACTTTTAAAGTATGATGCCTTCCCCTAAAGTAAAACTTAAAATAATACATAATTTCCATCCTGATTCTGCTTAGTACATTCTACATATTAAATCTTAAAATAAAAGAATAGTAAACTTATAGTATAGTTAAATGTATAATTTCCATTCTAGTTCTAATTCTGATAAGTACATTGTTTTAGAATAAGAAAATAAAATACTAAGGTTATAATAACATTAAAACAATAACAAATTAAACTATAACTAAGCATTAATCATTTTACACATTCTCCTTAATATTTTATTAAATATTAACATCTATCATTATTAAACATTAATATTTTATTAAATATTCCAATAAACTATTTCAAATGCAAATACTACAATACTATCTTATGCACTCTTGCAGAATCTTCTTTAATTATACACTATCCATTATCCTTCATCTCTAAAAAAAAAATTTCTTATTAAAATCTTGTTCTAGCCCTTGGCTTTTTTTTCCCTTTTCCCTCCCTTTCTTCTCCAATCTGGTCTTTTTGCCCCCCCTCTCCTAGCCTCCCCCTTTTTAACTTCCCCTCTCTGTTGTAATTCTCTTTTCAATTGCTTTCTAACATTGTACCTTCTTTTCACCCTATTTTTCTTTTTCTTGGTTGTTTTATTAAATCTTAAATTCTCATTTTTCCTTCCTCTCTTCCCATTTTCTTTCTTAATTGAACTTTTTAGTCCATTAAAGATGGCTTCTTCCTTTTCTTCCTCTTCTTCTCCTTCTCCTTCCTCCAGTATTTGCTGGTACGTAGAAACTGCCATTTCTAAAAAATGGAAGGCAGCTCCCAAGGAATCCTTGCCATTTTGTTGTCTTTCTTTTAATTTTTCATATTCCATTTTCAGTTCATCAACAGATGGTACCATTATAGGTTTTTTAAAAACAACCCAGATGCTTTCAATCTTAAAGTAATTTCCAAATGTCAAAGTTATCAAACAATCCAAACAAACAAAAATTATTTCCTCTTCTTCTCCTTACAGTTTTTCCTCCAGGGGCAAAATCCCAAATGTATTTTAAAAGCCGTATTACAATTAATTGATGGTCTTGTAATCTTCAAGGCGTCTCCTCCAACAAAGTTTAAGAAAAATTTTTTTAGTCCTCTCCTTCCCACTTGTAACAAAGAGCTCATTTTTACCTTTAAAAAGCAGGTTTTTCTGTGCTCCTTTGCTTTCTCCGTAAGGAAGGGGAGTGAGCTTTCCTTCAGCACTTTTGCCGGTGTAACAAATTCTTTTGGAAACAAATGTATCAATCCAAAGTCAGGTTTCCAGGGTGTTTTAAAAGTAACTTAATGTCCCGGTTCAGCCAAGAAAACTTCTCCTTCTGGCTCTTCATCCTGCGCAATCTTATCTGGTTGAAGATTTCTTTGTGGCTGCCATTACTGACAGCCGCTCCACCGCCTCAGGAAAAAGGAGTCTAGCTGGCTGGGGAAAGGGGGTGCAATATCCCCAGACCCCTGCCCGGATCTCCTCTGTCTTCTGCTGCCCCTTCAGGGCAGCGACAACCCCCAAATCCAGTTGGATCGGGGGTACCTCGACAGCGAGCGCAGCAGGGACCCGCAGAGAAGCGGATTCCTGCCACCGCCGAAGCCTTGCAACCAGAAGTGCTGCAAGGAAGCAAGGTTTTGACAGGTTTGTTTTATTCATTAATGAGCTGTATTTATTTGAACTGTCAAAGTCTTTCATTAAAGTACTATCATCTTGTCTATAGATATAATGTCAACCCTGAAGCTGACCTGGCTGAAGCCATTTTGGAGCTTCAGAGTTGCCATGATTCAGCTTTTGCAAGTTTGTGGAATATAGCCACAGTTATCACAAATTTAAACTTGAATCCTAAGAATTGAGAGAATACTTAGAAAGAAAGAAACCCATCATGATTACATCTGTCTCTAATATAGATGTCCATTTTTAAATTCTCTTGAATAGGACATAATAAAAGTTATGCCTTATTGCTCTAGGAACTGTTATTCAGTATAATTAAACATAAACTCAAATCCATAACAGTTTGGGCTATTTTATATATTTACAGATAAATGTAGACCATATTCCAGTAGCTCTCTGGATGAATGGGTAGGTAATAATTTAACTCCGTCTTCTCTGTAGGAAAGTGATTAAGCATTTATTTAAAAACGAAGCAATATGATGTTGAGAAATAACCATTAGCATGTAAAATAAATTCAGTAAAAGCACAAGAAGCATTTTATGCAGTATGGCCTTGAACCCCAGCAATAGAAAATCTCTGACTGCCAACTGAATCAGTTACACAAAGAAAAAACCCTAAATTTTACAAATAAATCTGGACAGATGCTTAGCAGCTCTTACCAAGAATGGAATTCAACTGACCTATCAAGAATTAGATCACACTATCATAAATGGTCTCAAATGGATTTGAACAAACATGTTCCCCGGAAAAAGTTGTCTTAAATGCCTGAAAGGTAAAGATCCAACTTGAAAAAAAAACTACTTTAATAATATATAAGTGTGTCTATGAAAGTGAAGGCATATTTGAGGTTCAGGAATAGAGAAATTGTGGTAGACTAGATTTCTACCAATTGAGAAAAATTGGCAAAATGAATTGATCTCATTGTAAGCTGTAAAGAAAAAATGACCAAATTCCTCTTTACAGCTTACAATGATATCCATTCATTTTGCCAATTTTACCTCCCAGATGAAACTACAACACAGAATATTTTGTGATGACCTCCCATTCAAGTATTTAAACATGCTCATCTTAGTGTTTTTTTAAGCCAAGAATTGTTTATTTATTTGCTTTATTTATTTGATTTGTCAATCACTTACAAGATAATAGATATAAGTATAAACATGAGTAAGAATACAGGAAATAGGTATGAATAAATGGGGACAATAGGACAGGGACAGTAGGCACGATGGTGCACTTATGCACATTCCTTACAATAACATTTGTCGATGAAGATGGTTATTACTCCAGTTTGTGTATCCCAGAATGGAACGCTGACATTTCCTCCATATGTGAGATCTGAAGGAGAAGAAGAATTTCTGGTTTCTCAGAAATACCTGTACAAGCCTGTACAACAGCTTCTCAGTAGAAATCCAGAAACCACTACCAACATTTAGGAAACCCTTAGAAATTGATCTATTAAAAACAGCTATGTAAATTAATAAAGCAAAAAATATAGGCTTGCCCTGAATCTTAAAATAACAATGTATTTATGACCACTCAAAACCATACAATGAGATTAACAGTTAAAGTTTAATTTAACAGGACCAAGATTATCTGAGATCACTGTTTTCTTCTCATCAAGTACTGCCTGTTATTTAGCTCAGGCCTGATCAAAATGATATAACATTTGGGTGGAAAAATGCATCCTAGTAAACCAGCACTAGAAGCCAAGATGGAGAAGACCTCCACAGCTACCACATATTTCCCCTTGGCACTGAGATAGGTTGGAACAAAGGAGAGCCAGGCACTGCAGAAGACCATCATGCTGAAGGTGATGAACTTGGCTTCATTGAAATTATCTGGTAACTTTCTTCCTAGGAAAGCCATACTGAAGCTGATCATGGCCAGGAAGCCCATAAAACCCAGTACACAGTAGAACATGATAGTTGAACCCTCATTGCATTCCAACACAATTTCTTCAGGCAGAGAGTGCATGTCAACATCAGGGAACGGAGGAAAGATTGCCAGCCACACTGCACAAATGGTGACTTGAGTAAGGGAACAGGAGAAGACGACAGATTGGGCCAATGGTTTCCCCACCCATTTCCTGATCCTAGAGCCTGGTCTGGTGGCCCTAAAGGCCAGAACTATAATGAGGGTTTTGGCCAAAATACAAGAAACCGCCACTGAAAAGATAATGCCAAAAGTGGTTTGGCGAAGCAGACACCTAACCTGGTCTGGCTGACCAATGAAAAGCAAAGGGCAAAGAAAAGAGAGCAGGAGGGAAATGATCAGAACATAGGTGATGGTTCGATTGTTGGCTTTGACAATGGGAGTTTCTCTGTATTTAAGGAAGATCCAAAATATTTGACCCGTAGCACCAGAAAAGAAAAGAGAAAGTGTGGTCAGGCTGATCCCCAAAGGTTCTCCATAGCTCAAAAAGCTGGCATCTTTGGGATTGCAGTGAGCCTGGTCTTTGTTTGGATAATGATCTTCTGGACATGGAGTGCAGGAATCCATGTCTAAAAAAAAGAAAAGGACAATTTCTCTGTAGAAAGGATTTTCATATATTGCATCATGTATCCCAGGGATACTTTATCTTACACCAGTAGCCCCCAACCAATTTGCAATGATTCATGAGGAAAAACATTCATAGATGTGAACATTCTACACCTGGGAATTTCCTACAATGAAAGTAAAGCTGAACGAGTTCCCTACAGATACATTGTTCTCAGGAACTACTTCTACCAAGCACACAATCTTGGGAGGAAAAAAATGGAGTGGCAAAGTGGGAAGCTGACACCCACTTTGCCAATCAAATGTGATGGAATGTTGCCTGGATTCCCAGGAGGAAGGGAGTGCATTCCAGAGAAGCATCATGTTTTAGATGTGTAGAAGAAAGGGGATGAGTACTGCTTCTCCCTAATAGTTCCCAGAGTATTTTATATTGGAAGTAGTCTGCTTTAATGAGGTGATAGGATGTTAAATTTAGTAACTGGAACAGTAAGTTGTACAAGAGGGCAGAACATATAGTTGTAGGTGAGTACTTTGATAAGGAGCACTGACTTAGTAATTAGAGAGTACCGACACATGATGCAATCTATGCTATGATTGGTTGCTGTAAATATAAAAGGGGAATTTCCCTTGGGTATTTTTTCTGTCATGTATTCTACAATATATACTGTTTAGCTTGCCTCCTGGTATTCCTGTGTTCCTGACAACATTGTCTTTGTTTTTGTTCTTCTGGATGATAACAAGGACAAGGAGTTTGAATGCTAAATACATTTATCTATAATACTTCCTACAACCAAATAAAGCTAAACTAACACCCTACAAATATTCTGTTCTCAGAAACTACTATTCATAAAGGCATAGTTTTCGAAACCTAAAGAAAACATACATCCCATGAGTTCTTCCTTTTCCACCAAGTTTAGTAGTAACAACATGAACCAGTAGAGGAGGAAGGTGACACCCATGTGGCCAGTCAGATCAAGCAATCAATGGTACAGACATTACAGTCAGATTATCCTCACACCCCCATGCAGTGGGTCCTAAATCAAATGCAATGTGATGCAATGAAACTCAAAAATATCATCTCTTACCCATCTGGCTTGAGATCTCTCCAGCTGGGCATGGAAGGCAATCATAACAGCAGAAAGGACTGCCTTCCTGTTTTATCCGCCTTTGACCCAAACAGCAAAGGTCATTACACAAGGAAGAGGGTGGTTCCTGTGTGCAAATGAAAGTAGATATTTTGATACTGACAGGGAAAACAATAATATTTCTCAAAAAGAAAAAAGGAATCAGAATGCTAAGACCTCTTATTACTGCTATATCAGTTACAGCTTTGAACTCAGGTGCTGGAGAAGACTCCTGCGAGTCCCTTGGACTGCAAAGTGATCAAACCAGTCAGTCCTAGAGGAGATCGACCCTGACTGCTCTTTAGAAGGCCAGAACCTGTAGATGAAACTCAAATACTTTGGCCACCTAATGAGAAGGAAGGACTCACTGAAGAAGAGATTAATGCTGGGAAAGATTGAGGGCAATAGAAGAAGGGGATGACAGAGAATGAGGTGGCTGGAAAGAGTCACTGAAGCAATAGGCACGAGCTTAAGTGGACTCCAGAGGATGGTAGAGGACAGGAAGGCTTGGAGGAACATTGTCCATGGGGTCAGGATGGGTCGGACACAACTTCACAACTAACAACAATGACTATGATGTATTCTTGAGTCCTCATGAAGACAGAAAACTCCTTTGTTGGTTTAATAAAGAGAAGGGAAAGGAGATAATAAAATGTTGGCATCTTTTAGAGCACGGGTGTCAAACTGGCAGCCCGCAGGCTGGATGAATCACACTCAGGCCACGTCCACCCATTCTGCAACCGGGAAAAATGTCATGACACATCATGTGACAGCAATGTGACAACAGGATTTTAGATGGTCAGGTTTTCTGAAGTCATTTCCTCCATAGAATTATCAGAAGTCATCACTAAGAAATTAATAAATTAAACAATGGCCTTCCAAGCAACCAGGGTTATTTTCATGAGTAAATATTTACCTGAAGAACTTCCCAGGGTCAGTTTTGTAAACTTCCCTGAATCAGTAAATTAGAAATTAGAAAAATAAATAAAATTAGATGGTCCTGGTTCACTATATCGATTCTACCTTATGATATGGCCTGGGCCACACAATGGAATCCTGAGAAATGGATATGATGTTGTCCTTGGAAGCAAGGGGATAAATTTTTCCCACCTTGACCCGAAGAAAAGTCTGATTTGGGAATGCCACCCAATTGATAATATCAAACTCAGCTTTCAGTTCCCTGTTTTCATCAAAAGAAACAGTTTCCTCAAGACTATTATTAAATGACAGGCTTCTTAAATAATGATGGAGCTAAATGGAAGAAGAAAGGGAGAAGGGGGAAAACACGACAACATTAAGAGGTATAAATGATGTATTTCTAATATTCAGATTGTTTTGTAACCATATTAAAGCCCTTTTACTTAATACCTATGGATTTGTTTATGCCTGACCTAATTCATCTACAGTGCACATTCTTTTTTCCTAAACTTGGCCACTGATACATTACTCCAGAAAGGTGGGAGAAGAAAAATGATAGAAAAATTGCTAATCTTATATTTGTTGTATACACTTTTTTCTCCTTTCATTTGTAGTTCTTGTTCCCTTTTCCTTATGTATAAATAAAAAAAATGTATACAGTATATATATAAAAGAAACATTGTGGTTTCAAGCTTTACACAATTATACTGAGTTGAGTAGAAAGAGCAGAGGAAGGAAAAATGCCAAAAGACAGTTGCATTAACTCCGGGGTCCAGAACCTCAAGGCTGCAACTCAGTACTTGGCTGTAGTCTATTCAGAACTTGGCCACGGAAGCAGCTGCATGAATGTGCATGCAGATCTATTTGCACAAGTGATGGACAGGCATGCATGTGCAGCTCCACTTGCATGAGTGTTGGGTGAGTATAGACTTGCACAGCTCCATTTGTGCAAGCAGCAGGCAATCATGCCCTCCACCTGTGCAAATGGAGTTATGCATGCATGCTTGCCCACCGCTCACATGGAATTATCCCCTCCTCCCACACCAGTCCGCGAAGCCAGAAAGGTTGGGCAACTCTACATAAACTCATCCAACTGATGATCAATCAGGTGACCTAAGGAACAGGGATCAGTTCCTTGATCCTTCTGAGTCTGACTTCAATGGGTTCCTAATAAAGGACAGCCATGGAACAAGGGTTTATTTTAGGGCTCATTATGAGGTCCTCCTTTTGCTGCCTTTTTCTGCTGTGTCAATCTTCTGATTCTTTTTGAATATTTCAGTCAGGTTATATCAAGCATTTAACATTAGGATTACAGCTGATAAATTTCTATCAGCAATAAACTCATGAAAAGGAAGCCACTTGTTCATCAAGAAAATCTTTTTGCATCTTCCTCACATCAAGAAAAACTTTTGTTCATTTTTGATGCCATGTGCCTCAACTCATAATGTGAACTTCCTGCTTTTTGGTCCTTTTGCATCATTCTATACAGGTTTGAATCCCTAGCACCATGTAATGGAGTGAGTTCCCATTACTTATCCCAGCATCTGCCAATCTAGGAGTTTGAAAGCATGTTAAAATATGCAAGTAGAAAAATAGGGACCACCATTGGTCAGAAGGTAACAGCATTCCATACGTCTCCAGCGATTAGTTATGCCAGCCATATAACCATGGAGACATCTTCAGAGAGCATTGGCTCTTTGGCTTTGTAACGGACCATGAGCACCACCCCCTAGAGCCAGAAACGACCAGCACGTATGTGTGAGGGGGACCTTTACCTTTTTATACAGGGAGAAAGCTGCAAAAACAATTGTAATAATTGTTTGCATCCCTTTCCTTTATAAGAAAGTAAGACAATTTTTAAAGAGTACATGTCACTCTTTTTCACCTTCAAATTACCCCATCAAAATGAAAAGACACTCCCCTGAAATTATTGCAGAGAAAGCTTTCTATGCTAAGCAGAAACATTTGAAGTGATTTGGAGGTTTGATAAGTTCTTCTGAATTTCTCCATTCAAGACATTACCTGCCATGGCTCTTTACTGATAGAATTCCTTCTTTTTATCTCTGCTGTCATTCTGGAGTGGAACTGGCATGAATCCATGAATTGCAAAGCGTGAGCTATGGTGTAAATTGCAGTATAGAGGCTGTAGCTGTGACTAGTCATAGTGGTTTCAAAAACTGACCCAGGGAGCGTCTCCACCTTCTCTTTCCCAGTGCAGACATTTGTGTCAATCTTGTGCTCTCTTGAAGAAGAGAAGTGACAGTTAAAGACCTGTTGCCAAAAGTCCTTGATGAACCCATCTCCATTTTCCTCATTTGGATTTCTTCTTTTAAGAAATGTTTGAAATCCCTTCACATCAGTTGAATGAAGGGCAACCAACAGAGCACCATGAATAACATCAACCTCAAAGTCTTTGACAAAGGGAATTGATGTGAATTCTATCTGGGCTGTCATAATCCAGACTTTGCTCTTGGTCTTGATGGGTATGTTCTCAAATTCTGTAACACGAGGGAACATTCTCAAAAAGATCATAGTGTGAATTTCTCCATGGATGAGCACTACATTGGCTGTGCTATCACCAAGTATCTTGTATACTCTGATCCATTTATTCACCATTTCATCAACACCAGAGGCAAAATCCAAGTTAGGCAAAGTTTCTATAAAATCAAAGCAAATGCCGTTCTTGGAAAACTTGGGCAGTATTGTGTGTATAAATCTCAATCCATTCTCATCATACATAAAAATAACTCCAATCCATATCCACCTGAAAAGAAGCAGCAGCTGTAGGATTCCCAAATATTGATGCTCCCTACTAGGGAACATCCGTAAGGAAAAAACATTTTGGGATGGGTCACTTATTACTGGAGCAGAACCATAAGTGAACTGAAATGGAAAAAAAATAAACAAGGAGATTTAATTCCCAATCTCTATCCAAATCAGAAGAAATATAATACCCAAATCACAGGAAATAAATGGTTTTGTTTATGGAATACAAGAGACTGATTCAGTGACTTAATGATGCTAGAGATGATCTTGTCTCCAGTGATTTGAGTCCTAATTCTGCATGGTGGGATGAGCTCCGAATACTTGCCTCAGCTTCTGGTCATCTTGCAGTTCTAAAGCGTGTTCTATGTGAGTAGGTAAATAGGTACCACTTTGGTGGGGGAGACTGTACAGTCAGTCAGATTCCTGATGGCTCTGAACATTCCCAGTTTCAGCATCTGCTTGAGAGGGGACCTTGGGTGATGCTGTAGGAAGAGCCACTTGTCTTTCTCTCTGGTGTGCAACCTCTCACCTACTGTGGCTCACTTTGGAAAGCACACAAGCATTTCCTGTAAGGGCTGGTACTTTGGAAGCCAAACTTTTACTCTGCAAAAACATTGTGGTCTCCTAGCTACTGTAAACATCATCAATCCAGCTCTGGACATCCCACTTTAAATAGGCTTGAAATATTAATTTCAAAGAAGGGCTATGATGACATTGAGTTCCTGATCAAGGAACTAGAAATCAGATAAAGTAAGGTAAAGGTTCCCCTCACATATACATGCTGGTCATTTCCAGCTCTAAGGGGCACTGCTCATTTCTGTTACAAAGCTGAAGAGCCAGCGCTGTCCAAAGATATCTCTGTGCTCATGTGGCCAGCAGGACTAAATGACAAAGTTGCATGGAACACTGTTACCTTCTGACCAAAGGTGGTATTTTTCTACTTGCATTTTTTTTTACATGCTTTCGAACTGCTAGGTTGGCAGAAGCTGGGACAAGTAACAGGAGCTCAATCCGTTATGCGGCACTAGGGATTCGAACTGCTGAACTGCCAACCTTTTTGATTGACAAACAGCATCTTAGCCACTGAACCACTGTATCCCCTTAGAAATCAGATACTGTGTGGGATATGGAAGCAACCAGGAATGCTTACACCTGGGAAATGAAGATTGAGGGAGGACATGGTAGCAGTCCTGAAGTATGTGAAATGATGTCCTGAGTTAAAAGTCAGGACTTGGATATAAAAATCTGACTAATAGTTTCATTATTACAGGAATGTACATTCTAATTGAAGGTTAGTAATGATAAGAGCAGTTGAACCCTGGAGCTAATAATTCAGAGAAATGCATGGTGAAAATTTGATGTGTTGAGGCAGAAAGTGTGGAATCACTTGTTAAAGTATGAACGATATGGATTCTTGAACTGAACAAGGGATAGGAGTCAGCAGCTTAAATGGTATCCAACATCATGTTTCTGTAAGATTGTCTACTTTTAAATGTCTTTCAATCTCGGTAAAAGAAGCCTCTGTGAATTCATGGTGCTAATAAAACTTCGTGCATTAGTGTTCAGTGAGTATGGTGTGTGTAGGTAGTTCTTGACTTAAAACAGTTCATTTAGTGACCATTTGAAGTTACAACATCACTGAAAAAAGTGACTTATGACCATTTTTCATACTTACGATCACTGAAGCATCCCCATGATCATGTGATTTACATTCAGATGCTTGACAACTGACACATATTTATGACAGGTGCAGTGTCTTGCAGTCATGTGTTCCCTTTTTGTGACCTTCCGGCAAGCAAAATCAATGAGGAAACCAGATTTATTTCTCAATCATGTTACTAATTTAAGAACTGCAGCGATTCACTTAACAAATGTGGTGAGAAAAGTCATAAAATGGAGCAAACTCACTTAACAAATTTCTCACTTAACAACAAAAAATTTGGGCTCAATTATGATTGTAAATTGATGGTTGGGGACAATATGTTGACTCTGTAAAGCACTTAGAAAGGGCTGTACAGCTCTGTAAAGCATTATGTAAGTCTAAGTGCAGTTGCCAATCTCACTTTGACATGATTACCAAATAAAGACCTAATGAATGAATCAAGCTTTTGATTCATTTGGCTCCTTATTGTTCAAAATTATGGAGTTCTACTGATGTAATTCATAGATTGTATCACTTCTGCATGCAATGTTCAACTACTTATATATATTCTATCCCAAATTATTTGGTGATGTTTAATGATTAACAATATTATGATACACATACAAAACTACATTAAAGATTTATGGGACATATTGTGGATTTGTTCAGGAGCCAAGTCCCATGTTTGCATCTTACCTGTGGTATCTTGTAGATGCTCAGAATGGTTGCCATAAAGAAACCCACATCAGAATTGGGTCCCCCAATGGCAGCCATAGCATTATCTTTAGTATCACACTTGTAGTTTGGGATAAAGTTGTTCCATGTGGAGAGAAGCTCTAGAGAAGCAAGTAAGGTACCACTTGGAAGAAAATGGTTATTGTAGATGTGGAAGCCCAGAGAAATATTGGGTAATATCTGAAGATTTTCATTGATCTCCATGACAGCAAATGCAAAAGCCAGGGTATGTTGATAGATCTGAGTCACAAGTCTGCCGAGTGATTTACAAGATGAATAAGTGCAGAGAATTGCTAATTTGTCACTCAGAGCAAATACCTATAAATCACAGGTGTCCAAAGTTAAAACATATCTTTAACAGAGATGCTATACAGTACGAGCAGGGGTGGGATTAAAAAAAATTTAGCAACCGGTTTTGTGGACATGGCTTAGTTGGTGGGCATGGCTTGGTGGTCATGTGACTGGGTGGACATGGCTTGGTGGTCATGTTACTGGCTGGGTGTGGCCAACTCAACTTCACCCACATCAAGGCACACATCTCCTCGCCTGGCCTCTCATGACTGTGGGGATGCTGCAACAGTCGTAAGTGTGAAAAATGGTCATAAGTCACTTTTTTCAGTGCCACCATAACTTTGAATGGTCACTCCACACAAGCAACCAGCAAAGGAGAGAAAAAAACTCCAGAGAAGTTCCTGAGACAGGAAGTCTAATCCTGCCAAGAATGTAATAAGAGTTAATGGAGAGGCAGTTTCTGTAAGCAACACCGGAATGTTTCCTTCCTGCCTTCCTTACAAGATTAGCCCAGTAATTTTTTCTAACAACCAGTTCTCCAAACTGCTTAGAATGTTAACAACTGGTTCTAGCGAATAGGTGCGAACTGGTAGAATCCCACCCCTGAGTACGAGAAACTATAAGTGGACTCATATTCTTATCTGGAGTGTGGAAAGAACAGCCTTTTATTGTTTTGCTTTATTTACATTCATCTCTGCATCTTAGAGGGAAGACCTCTCGAGTATCAGAATGGCCAAACAAATGGCAACTTCAAATCTCAACAAATAAATGCTCTGCCCTACATACTGGCAAGAAAAAACTCAGAAAATAAAATACAGGCTGAACAGTCAAGACCTTGTTGATGATCCAAACTCTGTCAAGGACCTTGGAGTACTCATCTCTAATGATCTAAGTGCTAGAGCCCACTGTAACTATATAGCCCAAAAGGCATTAAGAGTAATTAATCTAATCTTACGTAGCTTTTTCTCTGGTAATATCACACTACTAACTAGAGCATACAAAACATTTGCTAGACCAATACTCGAATACAGCTCATCAGTCTGGAACCCATATTATGTATCTGATAATAACACAGTTGAGAAAGTCCAGAAATATTTCACAAGAAGAGTTCTCCACTCCTCTACTCATAGCAGAATACCTTATGCTACCAGACTTGAAATTCTAGACCTAGAAAATCTAGAACTACGCCGCCTTCGGTCCGATCTAAGTATAGTATATAAAATCATATATTGCAATGTCCTCCCTGTCAATGAATACTTCAACCATAACAATACAAGAACACACAATAGATACAAACTCAAGGTTAACCACACCAAACTCGATTGCAGGAAATACAATTTCAGCAACAGAATGGTCAATGTCTGGAATATTCTACCTGACTCTGGTTTCTTCCCCAAACCCCAAAAACTTTAACCTTAGATGTCTACTTTTGACCTCACCCCTTTCCTAAGAGGTCTGTAGGAGGCATGCATAAGTGCACCAAAGTGCCTACCATCCCTGTCCTATTGTTTCTTTTTATTTTTCTCATATGTATACATTTCATGTATTCATAACTATGTTTATACTTATACTTATCATTTTGTAAGCAATTGACAAATCAAAATAAATAAAAAATAAATCTATATTTCTTCAAAGTTCTTTGAAGATATATAGACACTTCCACATGACATATGCAACTGGTATCTGGTGAATCAGAACCAGTACCTTCTGATGGATTTTAGAAGATCAACTACACAAGATATTGAATCTAGTGGATGGAAGATTTTGAGGTAGAACACATTTGGACTTCCTAGTGTGAAATATTATGTAGAGTGAGCAGGGGGATAAATACTCCAATAGGAAGGTTCATCAATACTCATAGAAAACTAGGCAAAGATAGCATTATAGCTACCAGTACCACCACTCATTCCTAGTACTTATTATTTACTAGTACATGTTAGCAAAGAATGCACCATAAAATATTATGTCCATGTAATAAATCCCATCATCATCTGTGAAAGAGAGAGGAAATGAAACACAAAATCCAGAACAGAAAATATCAAAACTCTCAAAAAAAAAATTAACATTGAATATAGTCTCAATAAATAATAGCAGGTCAAGGCAAATTCAACTGAGGTTTACTCTCGGTACAATGCAGTGAACTTTCTTTCACGTTTGGCAAACAGGAAATTCTTATATCACAAGCGGTTTTTATAGTAGCTGTTATTTATTGTTTTTGTTCAGTTGCTAAGTCATGTCTGACTCTTCTCAACCCAATGGACCATAGCAAACCAGTCCTCTCTGTGTCCCTTCACCCAAATTCATGTCCACTGGGTCACAACACTATCTAACCATCTCATCCTCTGCTGTCTTCTCCTTTTGCCTTTAATCTTTCCCAACCTCAGGGTCTTTTCCAATGAGAGTAGCAGTTACACATAACAATTATAAAAATATTGCCATGCTTATAGGCTGAATGAATGAGGGACTTAATATACAAACAATGAACATAACAAGCAGATTGATTATGATCTAGTGGAATTGATGATAATCTATTTGATCAGGAAGGACTGAATGAGCATTTAGTAGATTGCAACAAGTAACTTCTGCAGCAAAACTGGGACATTCTTATTGAAGAGACAGAGGGAGAGAGAAATGCTGGAAGATTGGAGTTGACTCCTATCCTATTCCAAAGAAAGCATGAGATTTTTTCTCATTCATGCTTTCACAATACAATTGTATCCCAACACTTGTTTGAGATAACACAATTTGAAATGAGAAAGTTCTTTATGGAAAATGAAGTTTAGAAAATGAAGTTAACTCTTTAGTTAAGAGTTAACAAAACTCTTAACTTACCCAATCTCATCCAGGAGGTTATGAGATGGATGTTGGTTGTAAGTCACAGGGTTGGAAAATGTGAAAACTTGAGATATAATACCAGCAATGCTCAGGTCCCCTGGCTGATAATACTGATGACTTATTGGCAGTGGGTAACGAATATGGCATGTACGACTTGGGATACTGGAAACACTCTGAGGCAGTAGAAGTAATATCAGGAACACAAAGGGTGGCAATAGATAGAAACATCGTTTGCACATCAGTTCCTGTCTTAAGTGTGTTTAAGAAGTTCAGGATGAATTTAATGCCCTCTCTGCAATAGGAATCTTCAAAAGTCACCAAACAATCTGTGTTGGGCTCCTTTCTTGAATTGCAAAACCTATTTTAGTAATATAACTTTGATCTTGGTTCTTTTTTGCCAAGGTGTATTTGTTATCCTTTGGGAGGTGAAGTAGAAGTCAGGTTGTAACTATAGGGGAGATGATTGCCTTTACAAAATTAGGGGTTCTTGGTACTATCATAGAAGAAAACAACTTAATTGCATATTTCAACATGAAGTTTTCTTTCACTTTATTAAAGTGTCAAGAGGCCAGGGTTATTTTAGGATTATTTTATTTAGCATTAATACTTTCTAATGTTCCCGTAGTATCCTTTCCTAAATTGGGGGTCCTTCAGACATTCACTTTTGCACTGGACATCTTACAGCTTGACTACTGCCAGTGTTGGTGTGGTGTTGGGGGTTTCTGGTTCAATGTGTGAAGGGTGAAAGATGTGTGTTTGCGTTTATTTTCATGGTCATGGTCATGAAGTGCACTGAAGATGGTGTTTGATTTCATTGTACAAGGTGTAATGACAATAAATTAAACTAAATTAAACTAAACTAAACGTGCTATTTCTATTTCTCTCTCTCTCTCTCTCTCTCTCTCTCTCTCTCTCTCTCTCTCTGTGTGTGTGTGTGTATGTGTCTCTCTCTGTCTCTGACTCTCTCCGTTTCTCTCTCTCTATCATCCCTGTCTTTCTCTCTCTTTCTCTCTAGCATCTCTATCACTATCATCTCTGTCTCTATCTCTATCTATCAGTGTATCTCTATCTATATTTATCTATCTTTATATCATATCTACATCCATCCATATCTATATATCACTATCTCTATCATCTCTATCTACCAGTATGTCTATGACTATATCTATGTCTATCTCTCCCTCTCCCTCTCCACCCTCTCTCTTAATTCTATATATCTACACACGCACACACATCAATAGTATCCAGATCTGGAGCTGAGTCGGAATATTAATTTTGCAGCCACACTAGTGAGAGAGAGAGAAAGATACACATCAATGGTATCCAAATCTAAACAGCTTGCTGTTATTGCTCTTCAGGAAAGAATAAAGATTGCATGCAACTGTCTACTGTTTCCCAGATCCAAGTTCAGAAATCAACTTGATAAGAAATGATATTCCAATAATTCTCTTCATTTTCTTCCTGAGGAGATTGAAGATAGGAACTAGAAAAAGTAGACTCAGTTAAGAGCCTTCCCTTATCTGCAGATTGCAGATGTGACCTGCAGATTGAGGGCCCAAATTGGGTGGTTTATTTCACTTAGTGCAAGTTAGCTAGTAATCACACGTATTTAGAACTTTGTTGTTCAGTTGCTAAGTCATGTTTGATACTTTACGACCCCATAAACCATAGCACACCCAGTCCTCCATTGTTTCCTGGAGTTGCTAGAAATTCAGGTTCCTAGCCACCAAATCATCTATATATACCATCAATATATACCAACATATTAAGTTCCTCAATTTTCCTCCATGCAGTTTTGGTTGCAATCTCTTTCTTCTTCATATCCTAATTTAAAAAGCTCCCAGGTCTGCAGGGAAAGGTAACTAGAAGTTCTAGATCATCAAGGTCTAGGTTTCTGCAACCAGAAGAGAGTTTCTTAACTATCAGCTGTTAGACAACTTAACAATTTGGGCAGGCTTGAGTTTCTTTTATATTTTGATTGTCTTGGACATCTGCACCCATCACTGAAGAGACAAATCCTCTCAAATGGAACAATTACCCTTGGTTGACTACAAACATATATAGTTTAATAATTATTCCTGTTTACAATCCTCAGAAAATTGTTTGGAAGTTGTTTTGTTCAGGAACTGCAATGTTTACATATTGTGACTCATGAATGTTATAGGTTCAAGGAAAAAGATGATTTATAGCTTACAATTATTGATGAGTACTACATCAGAGGCATGATGAAATAGGGAAACAGAGAATATAACATATGTTATGATTACACTGATGCCCAGTCTTTTATTTAAATGAGCACTTAAATCAGAGTTTGGTCACAAATCTAAATCCTACTGTGTATAGAAAACTGATCGCTATAACTTACTTTAAGTGGATTTTTTGCATGACCTGTTGCCTGTTATTCAGCTCAGGTCTTATCAAGATGATGTAAACTTTGGGTGAGAAAATGAGGACCAATAATCCAGCACTTGAGGTTAAAATGGAGAAGATCTCCATAGCCACCATATATTTCCCTTTGGTGCTCTGGTAAGCTGGAACAAAAGAGATCCAGACACTGCAAAAGAGCAGCATACTGAGGGTGATAAATTTGGCTTCATTGAAACTGTCTGGGAGGTTCCTTCCAAGAAAAGCCACTGTAAAGCTGATCATGGCCAAGAGGCCAATGAAACCCAAGACACAATAAAACATGACAGTGGAGCCCTCATTTCACTCTAGGACCATTTCTGTAGGCAGAGAATGCATGTCAAGATCTGGGAAGGGAACAGAGACCACCAGCCACACAGTACAGAGACTAGTTTGAATGAAAGAGCAGGAAAGCACTACAAAATTGATGTTAAGTCCTGCATAATAGCTAATGAAAACACAATTGCTTGAGAATCATGCTCTTCTTTTTAGAACTCACATTATGGGTATTACAATCCATGTTTCGTAAAATTCTCTTTTCTATTTCACTGGCAATTATTTGGGTTGGTCTGTGTTTATTGGTCTTGTAGTTTGCTGTGTTCTGCTTGATTGGTGTTTCTAATATCTTCTGTCTGTTTTGTAAC